ACCACGGCCAGCAGCGCGACCCGCCCGGCGGCTGCCCGGCCCCGCGTTGCCGGTCGGACCTCCATTCTCTGCTTTGCTGCAGGGTATTCCGCAGACGATTTTCAATTAGGCTTTCCGAGCAGTTGGATCAGTACCTGAGAGAAATAAATATATGAAATCCCTGCTGCCGGTCGGAGGATGGGCTGAGTCGGGCAGTTCCTGCTCTTATCTCTGCGCTGCTCCGTGTGGATCGGCACTGGGCGGGCGCCGGGGCCGGGGAGGAGGGGATGGCGGAGCGACTTTTCCGCCTTGGCCAACAGTGACACCCTGAGTCCTTGCCTGAGAATCACAGCGTCCAAGAGGAAGACAACAGCCCGAAGGTCCTGCTATGCCCATCCTTAAATCGCACTCGTACGCGGGTTGGAAAGTACAGATGTTATGAGTAGCGCGAAGCAGAAAACCTGTCTCTGTGCTGAAACGGTGCATTTAGGAATTCCCATTGTCTGAATTTCTTACATTTGCAACTATTCTGCAAGACAAACCCTCCCCCATTGCTCGGAGGATGTAGAGCCGGATCTCTGTCTCTGCCCCACAGTGATCACAGGTCTCTAGGGCGAGGGCGTGGGCGTATCGTGTGCCCCCGCCCCAGCCCCCTGAGAGAAACGGCATGACGGGACAAAAGCTGCTTGTAGATAGTGGTTTCATTTTCGACAGTTGGGCGATCCCGAGCTAGGACTCGACTTTCCCACTTCGAACGGTGACCGCTGATGGACGAGCAAAATCAGGAATCCCATCCACTGAGAAAACCACAGCGGGCACACCAGACCTACCAGATCCCGTGTCTTTCGACGTTCAAAACCCTGCATCACCATATCAGTGCCGTGCCATACAACCCAACCCCGAATTTCTTTTGTCTGTGTCTCGGACAAACCATGTCCTCATCTCCTAAGCCCGCCGTTACCGCAGCGGGTCTCAAACCTTAACATTCTTTGGCAAATGGCGACGGCGGTTATTGTTACTTGAACACGCCAAAAGAAAATAGATAGATCCCACCCTCATGAGAAGCTGTTGTATCTCACCTGTACGCTAAAACCTCGTCTCTCTTACGGTGAAAGGGGGAAAAAAAAAAAAAAAAAAAAAGAAGACCTGAAGGAGGGCTGTATCACCACAGCCCCTTATGCAGAAGACAAGAAACGGTTAGAAAATCCTCCACACTACCTACCCGGTGGAGTAGCTCTCGCATATACACCAACGCTGTCTCTGTAGATGCCAATGTGAAGATCTCCTCCCCTTCTCAGTAAGGTGTCATTACAAAGTATGTTTTCCTACTAACTCTGGCCGTTCATCCAGTGGAGGATAATGTCTTTTCCTCCAGCTGCACCTACACACAACTCACGGTAAAAAGTTAATAACCTGTCAGAACGAGAAGTTGGTTTGAATTTGTAGTGTTTCAGCAATCAAAAGGTAGCAAGCATGTGGGCACCCGTACATGAGGTCGAGAGAAGGATGTGGCTATTTATATAGGTAGCGGGGGACATGTCGGGGTCAATTCGCTGCTTACCCATATAGCAAGAACTGCCTATCACAACACAGACACACACTTTCGTACATCTTCACACACAGAAGCACCCTACAAATCGCTGTTTCCAAGTGGAGATTGACGCCTCCTAGTTCCAGGATTTTTTTTTCCCCCTTGTACCCGAGCATGCGGGCCACAGCACAGTGAAGTCCCAGGACGATGCATCCTGCTTCAGAAAGGGAAACATGTTCTTCCCACATGCATGTGAGTTTATGTCTGATGGATGGCAGCAGCAAGGAGTAACGACCACAAAGGTAGCTCATGTGAAGCAGAAGATTATGTCTCAGCTTACATTCCCACCACACACAGTACACACCAGTCCAAAGTCACAATATTTTGGCAAGATCTAGGGTCAGCACAAAAAAAAAATTAAAAAAAAATCTGTGCGGACCTTCGCCGGGAACCTTACAGTATGATTTTCTCTCAACCTGAAAGCTGTCATTTTTACGTGCCACTGGTTTCTTTTGTTTAAAATGCAAAAACACAAGGTATCACCGGCTTAAATATCAGAATAACAAATAATAGAGCAACGTAATATTACTCATTAATTATATTCCTGAAGTCCTAAAACCATGTTCAATTCATGATGAAAGGCCAGTAATGGAGGAAATAAGGCAGGTCGCTTCAAAGACAGCCTGTTTGGAAGATGTGCTTTCAGAACAGAATGGCGTGTTTGGCAGGAAAAAAATGTTTTAATATTATAAGGAAACCAAGGAGTACAATATTTTATACTCTGAGATTAACTTGCATTCCGAAATTATACGCAGGATAAATACTGTGATGAATAGTACTTTCATTTAAAACATTTTTCATCCGTATTACAGTAAATATACTATATTTCGGTATCTATGTCTCTACACTAACGACAATTACATTTATGGAATCTAAAGCTAAGTTACAAAGCACAGCAGTGAAAAAAACCCCTATGGTATATCAGAGGAATCTTTCACCATGCAAAGTTCTATTTGTAGAACTTTGAGTGTCCTTATGTGGGATTGCTTAATTTGCTTAAGGCAGATTTACAAGTAACATGGGACTTCAGATATGTTGTCTTTCAGGGTGCAAGGTTGCCCAATTCTACCAGCATTTGAGAAATAATACAGGGGTTGGCAATAAAATTCTGGGAACTGGGTGTTAATAACTACTGAAAAAAAAATCAAGAAAGTGTCAGAGGAAGACCTATTGACCGAAGTTTCCTTGGCCAGTTGCACATGCAGTGAAACCTTCCAGCCTCAGAGAAAGGTAGATATGATGAGCTCTGCCCAGTAAGTACAGAACATGCCTCATGAAACACAGCAGACTCAGCACACCTTCAGGAGGTCCCATTCACGAGGTGGCGACCATCGTAAAATGTCGTTTCCAAGTCTGCGAAGTGTGCACTTTAAAATATCTGTGGTTACTTTAAGAATCCGAAGCACCGAGTACACAAAAGAAAGTTAAAAAAAAATAACGTACCTGAAAGGAAACTTGGCCATCATTCTCGGCAACCTGATCTCCTGTAGGGACGAGATCACCTGAAGAATCAGCCGGCGGGCGGGCCGGCAGGGTGTCGCAGCAGCTGCCGCCCGAGAAGCGGAGCTGGCTCTTGCGCGAGTCGGCCGTGAGCGACACCTCGTGCGAGTAGGAGTGCAGGAAGGCGCGGACGCCGTCGATGCCCACGAAGTGCGAG